AAGAGACAAAAACTTACCTCATAGTGTCATCCGACTGGAACGGCTGGTCATGACACTGTTGATGGAAAGAATAATGTGTTTTTACTGTAATGCATTATCGTGCAACACGGTGGTTTTACGACAACTTTCAGCAAGACTGGAGTGAAGGAGGTGAGTCTTACCAATGTGACACTGGTGTCATTGAACTTATACCATCTGTCTTCACCTTCATCCTTGATTGTCGCAGAGTAATGTCCACTTCTAAGATCACCATAATGGTCCACAAATGCGTACAGTTCATACGTCTGTCTCTGAAAGAAAAAAACAAGAGACTTTAGAGAGAGGAAAAATAGATAAAGATCAAATACTAAGATATTGTATACGTACTCTACCTCTGGTATCTGTATGACGGAGGGAACGTCGACATCACAGTTGATTTTGACATATGACATGTGACGGTAGCTGAAGTCAAACCTCTTCAGCAGCAAAATCAAGACCTCTGGATGATGCTTCATTACATATTTCTGAATGAAAAACAATCCGTCTTGTTATGTTTTATAATTAAACTCTTAATGCTGTCATTACAAAGTCATTTAATATCCATGAATTAGAATAATGTTTTCTCTTTTCTCACAGTATCAGCATCAACTTTCGCACGACATGTGCGGCAGTACACCTGGTCTTCTCCGCTGAAAATGGAAACCTTGAAAAACTCCTTAACGCCGTCCACCTGAAAAATGCACACGTCATTTATTTACTATTGAAAGTAGCGCTGACAATGTATTTTTGAAGAGAGATCTGACAGAAAGCAAACCACCACACAACCAAGATACAAGAACACCTCCAATGCGGTGCCAAGAATCAAGCAATAAATGGAATGAATGAGAACAATTAAGAGTCTCAAAACCAATCAAAGAAAGACAAGCTTTAAATCAGAAGTTTGCACTTTAAAAAGGCACATTGTACCTGAAACTGGCTCTGTTGAGGCTAGTATGTCAACAAGAACTAATTAAGGTCAGGCAGTTGTTAAGAATCCTGTAGTTACAAGATTTTATGGGATTGTTGTTTGTCTTCTTTGCAGTCCATAAGGAAGTTCATGTAACTTTAAGATACATAAAGTTATGATGGTGCAGTCAGTGCTAAGGGTCAAAAGTACACACTTTAGAACAACAGATAAGCTGACAGGGAAGTGTGACAGGAGGAATGAACTGAATAACTCAGACAGTCAAAACCATTTACATGAAGTATAGTCTTAAAGTTTAAAAACAATCTAATACAAAAACATTGATTAAAAAGTGCTAAATAAAGCACCAAAGCAGACTGAACAATGTCCTTGCCGACATTACATAGTCTGACTCAGGAGAGGCCTTTAAATCCAATTTTAAAGCTCATGTTATTGACTTGGCATTCAATTGTTTGCTTAATTCAAGTCATGCACTTGTTAAGATGAAGCTTAACACTGGTCTGTCTCTAGAAAGTGCAGATCTTTTTAGTCCCTGCTTCTGTCTACACACGCACCCCAAGTCGCTGCAGCTGGAGCACACCAGCTCACCTACGACTCAAACACTGTACAGCTACTCCACGCTACATTATGTTAAACTAAAGTTTAACTTTTTTTTTTCCAGACAGACTCACCTAATACATGCAATATTTCCCTGTTTCTGATATATCACAGCTATCACTGTATTCGGTTTACGAGCTATGTTCCATCAACAGAAACATGCAGCTTGTCACATTCTTACCACACTATAGCAGTCACTGCAGGAATCCACCAACGCAAGAGGAAGATACCAAAATGCCTCATCTCTGTCAATGTCTGCATGACATGCATTACGACAGGTGGTCTTCTGTGACAACAGTCCGTGGAAGATCTGAAAATACAAATGCACAGATAAATGTAAATCAGTGCATTTTTTTATGCAACATATATTTTCCCTTGAGGTGGTCTTTACCTGTGATGCGCCTTCACTGGTCATTCGCAAAATCCTCTCTAAGTACTCGGCAGCATCACGCTGTTCGTACACTGGGTGGGGAGATAAATGTGTACTTCTTCAACAAAATCAGTCAGAAATAGAAAATACAGTTTATGTATTTCTACCTCAGAATGATCCATTATGATGATGATTATCAGAGTGGAGCAAATCTTACAAAAAATAGCAAATATCATGCTTTATTGTTATTTGGGTAAACATACTGTACCTTTGTCGATGCCCAGTGTCCTCGTTATATTACATGTGTGTGCTGTAGACTTCTGTAAATCACTGAACAAGGCATTAAGATGATGATCTATCAGCTGAGTGTCAGGATTTTCATCGGTGTAGCTAAATAAATACAGACATAGAGGCCATTAGGAGGTGCATCAGAGATCTAGTTTGAACTGAAGACAATTTATCATGCATAAAATCTGGTATTGCAACAAACCTTTCCACAGCCTCTCTGAAGTCTTCGGTCATGAAAAGCACCTGCAGCACACTGTTCAGGTAACATGTTGCCCCTTGGTTTAACAAGCCATGGTACTTAGTATGAGCTGCTGGGAGGAGATTGTTGGTAATGGATATGCGGTTCATAAACTGAGATAACTGCGGATCCAGAAAGCCTTCAGATCACTTCACAATTTGATTCAAATACAGATCAGGTATAGCCTTTATGTTTTATTTATTGCTAACATGATAAGCGTCTTAAAACCAGCTGCATTCTGTTTAGTTGAGCCAGCTGAAGGATCTTTGCATCGTGCAGTTTCGCTGACTGTCACGCCTTATTGGAACACTTCATGGAAGGAAGTCAAAATTTGCCTCACATGTGCTTTTCCTGTTATGACAAGTCAAAATGTTTGCTGTGAAAAAAGTCAGCTGATTTTAACAGAGTTTAGAAAAGCACACATACTCTTATGCATCAGAGCACAAGGGTTCTGATGCACACTATTATACACCCTTTTCTGGGAATCTTGACACCTAAAGACTTTCCTGAAGGACTTTCCCATACTTCATAGCAAAATTTGTGACCTCTAAACTTGGTTGCCCTACCTCCTGCAACACGAAGGAAACATAGATGGTGTAATACAGAAATCTGCTGGAACATTCATCTGCAAGTAAAACTCTAGCTGTTGGTTGTTGTGGTTATTTTGTATGGTTGTTTGTGTCCCTTTTGCATTACAGATGTACACGACTTTCCAGACTTTTTGCTCAAAATGTACACTGTAACGTCACACACATGAATTCATCAAGTCAGCGGATGATCAAACAGCGAATAAAGCACAAGTCCAATTTCACTTTTTACAGTGAGGCACTGTTTCCAAGTAACATGTGCTGTTACAATTGTGTGTCCCTTTCATTTTTATACCATTTGGAGCCCTCCTACACTGAGGTGCAACAGCTGTGATGTCAGTTAAGTCTGTGAGGATTTCATGTGTGGATTTAAGGCCATGAAGTTCAAAATGCTCTATGTAGACCTCCATGACAAAACGGTGACAATGCATACATCAAGATAATAACCATTTCTGAAGCTTTGAGACTTCATAGAAGCACACTGACATCAATAACTGTAAAGTGAAGAAGCTAGGAACCAGCAGGACTCTGCCTGGAGTTGGCAGTCCAGACAAACTGAGAACCTCCTCCTCATTCTCTGTATCAAATCCATCAATACACATCTTTACAACCCTGCCTGTAACTCATAATCCCAGTTCTATATGTCTGTATGTCTTTTGCATTGTTACCTACTTTGGAAAGCATCTTTGAGTGTCTTGAACAGCACTATATAAGCATCATGTATAAGTATTCTTATTATTAACTGTGCAAGAAAGGCTTTGGTCAGAGAGGTGACCAAGAACCAAAGAGGCACTCAAAAAGTTCTCAGCAGCTTTTCACCATTCAGCCCCTTATATCAGAGCAGCTCGACAGAAGCACAGGACAGAATAAATTGATATTTTCTAAACTGCATTTGAGGGACTGAAGAAAAAGATTATCTGGACCAAAAGCACAAAATGCACTCATGAGGCAGAGCTGCAGGCACTATGTCTAAACAGTACATTAGCAACAAAATAAGAAATAAAATACAATTCTAATAACTTATTTTTTACTTTAACACTATGGGTTATTGGGTGTAGAATACATATATTAAATGTGCAAAACAATTTGCATCTTACCCTGAGAGGTCACATTGTTGTAAGGAAACTTTGGAGCACCTTGACAGCGATTCATCCTCAGTCCACCTCCACGCTGATGGCAGCTGTAAGGAATTACAAACTGACAATCAATCAATCGCACTCGTTCATTTGGAAACGAAAACACAACTGCAAAATAAATGGGCAAACCTTCAGTTGTAAGATTCACACTTTGCTGACATCCCAGCAGACCCTTCAAAAACCAGCTATTCACACTTTAAGCCATTCCAGCAGATGTAATTCCAGTTCTGTAATGATAAACAATGTTAATACTCAACATTAAGACAATAAACCTGGGCTGTGATCAGCAATAATATTGCATGAAAGTAAATCAATAAAAGAATCCAGATAACGATTCTGCAGTCACCTGACTTCTTGTAAGTGCTGGAGAGAACAGTACATCTGCTCTTCTCCACTGAAAACGGATACCTTGATAAACTCCTCAATGTCGTCCACCTGAATATTGAAAGTAGCGCTGACAATGTATTTTTGAAGAGAGATCTAAGAGAAAGCAAACCAAACAACCAAGATACAAGAACACCTACAATCTGGTGCCAAGAATCAATCAGATTTTATGGGATTTTTTCTTTTTCTTTCTAGTCCATAAGGAAGTTCATGTAACTAGTGTAGTTAGTGCTAAAGGTCTAAAACACACACTTTAGAACAACAGATTAGCTGACAGGGAAGTGTGACAGGAGGAATGAACTGAATAACTCAGACAGTCAAAACCATTTACTTGACATATAATCTTTAAGTTTTAAAACAAAGTTTTTAATTCTATAATGCAAGTCCAGTTTGTCTTTTTGTGTTTGGGTTTGTGTTACTAAGCAAGAGTGGCATATGTTAAGTTTTAATGGCAAGATAGTTACAAATTCTGGAAGTCTAGAAACCTGTTAGTTTTTCTGGATTTGATACAAAACATTGATTAAAAAGTGCTAAATAGCACCAAAGCAGACTGAACAA